CCCCAAAACCCCAAAACCCCAAAACCCCAAAGTGCTATATTCATATTGATTATTAATATATCTTAGAAAAAATGACAATTTTAACATTTTCAGGTGAAATTGCACTCCACAGTAGTACCAACATTTTCTTTGGAAGAAAGAGTTATAGTGCCTCCAAGCTTTTCGATAAGTTTCTTTCAAATGGTTAGACCTAGTCCACAGCCAGTTTTGTTCCTATTGTGGTTAGAGCTCAGCTTCCCGAACAACTTAAAAAGAGATTTTTGGTCTGATTTTGAAATTCCTATTCCAGTATCTATAACTTTAAGACTAATAGAAATTTGATCTTTCAGATCTATTTTATCCTTCTCTTCCTCACTTTTGAATAAAGACTTGTTGATGTTAAATGAGTATTTGTGAGAATCATATCAGCTCTGCAAATTTTCAGAGAATTCTGAAAAAGACTCTAAATTTCATTGGAAATCTTTTCTTTTACCTTTGTTTGGCCAGTGGAGGAAATCATCTTCAGCAAATTTGCTCTCTTCATATCACTTCGATTCTTCCAAAACATCTCTATGCTCGCTGACTTCTATTGTGATAGATCCTCTGTCAGTAAATTTTAGTGCATTAGATATGAGATTCATCAACACTTGTTTTATTCTTTGCTTATCTGACAAGATAGATAAGTTCTGTAGTCTATCATCAATATTTATGATTAGTTCTAAGCCCTTTCCACTTGCTTGTAATATGAAAACTTCTTGAATTTCTTGGATGCACTGAGTCATGGTGAAGATATCTTCGTTGATCTGGAACACTCCAGATTCGATCTTGGCGTGATCCAGAATGTCTTCAACTAGCATCCCCAGAATTTTACAAGAAGATGAAGCTATTTTGACTAATCTGTTATTTATTCCATAATCCTGAATTCTCATCAGCTCCAGAGAGGCCGTTATTGAATTCAATGGTGTTCTGAACTCATGGGATACATTAGCAAGCATTTGGCGCTGGTAGTGATTTTGAGCCTTGGCCTCTTCAAGTTGTCCGATCTGAGTTGTATCTAAAAACATGTGCATGAACAAGATATCATCTTCTGATTCTGCATCTGCCTCAACTATAGTTGTTTTGATGACAAATTCTCTTTCCTGTACCTCATGATAAGCATTCCCACCGCTATGCAGCATGCTAATTTTAGACTCTTTTCTAATATGCATGCTCTGCATGATAGAGTCCCGCTCTTGCTTTAAGAACGTCTCTAGAGTTTGTTGTTCTGGCATGTACTTTTCAAACTGTTGCATTGGGATATTCTCTTCATTTTCATCATCAAAGTCCTGTTCCTCGTTCTTGCCCTCTTGAGATTCTCTCGAGTCAACTCTGAAGTCTTCAAATAAGCTACTGATAAAATTTTCAGTGTTCTTCTTGGGCTGAAGATGGATATTTGAGTATTCAAAGGAATATTTTTTTATTATCCTGTCCAATTCCTTATTAATGTAAATCTGATTAGCCTTCAGCTCGTTCATCACAGAATCTGTCTTGTAGAACGAACATATATCAAAGGTATCCTTGATCTTGGGGTTCAGGTACTTGAACTCATTGCTGTTAGTGATGATAACAACTCCTTCAGGTACACAATCCAGAATCGCCTTTTGTCCTTCAAGAGTCTTCCTCTGTTTATAATTTGCTAGAAACTCTAATTTAAGTGTGTTAGAGTAAGAATAAGCGCCAACAATGAAGAAAGCTAAAGCTCAGAAGGTTGAAGGATAATAATAATCTCCAAGAGTTCCAAATTTAGACCTCAGCCTGAATAACCCATGGATGTGCAAAAGTGTCTGGGTTATACAAGCTATCTTCCAATTCGTTGTGACACAAGTGCTAAATACTAAGGATGCTGAAAGCTGGATCAGATATCCTTCATTTATCCTACAGGATTATCAAAGCCATACCTAAAATATGTGAATTTGAGGTTGACTTCTGTCATCTGGACATACATTATAGTAGCAACAATTATTCCACAATAATTCGCTACCCAGTCATATCTCCGAATCCCTTTGGCTAAAAGGTAGAGTATTATAAAATCGAAGGCTAGGAGACCAGCTCTGATGAAAACCTTTTCTTGTTGCATGATTGTTACAAATGTGAGTACTGATGCGACACTGTATTTGACAACGTTCATCAGAGGTCCCCAGTTATTTCCGGATCTGGGCCAGTCGTTTTTGGTAGTATTCGCGCTCAAGTTCTTCATTTTCTGGGAATTCTTTGAAGAATAGCTTCCAGTTTTGGAGGTTCTGGGTTAAGTTTTGGAGTAATTGGGTGAGAAAAAGTAAGCATTCCTATAGTTTTGTATGAATAGGGTGAGTAGAAGGGATGGGTTTGTATGCTTACCATTTTTAATGATAAATTTATATTCTTGCATTATTCTTAAGCAAGTACGGGGTTTTGGGGTTTTGGGGTTTTGGGG